ATATTTTTATATAAAATTTGAAATTTATCGATTAAATTCAGCGTAGCTTGCGATGGCATTCTCAAAAGTGAGTTATCACTGACAGTATTTAAAATTTCTTGGGGGGCTCTGGAAAATGCTTATTTTTTTGGCAAAATCCGATCGCAAAAAGCAGTTGATAGAAACTCATCATTTGAGGCCAATATTATCCCCCATAAGTTTTAACTGGGACCCATGCTCTGAAGCTGAGATTTACCATCCCGAAAAATCCTGGCGCCGCCACTAAGTTCATGAAAAGTCTATATGATTTGTTCTTCGTATTGTTTTGTCCATAGAAGAAACATAAATTTTATTAAAATTTTATTTCAAAATAAAGTATTATTTATGATTAAAACATTTTCATAATCATGTTTTCTTATCACTATTAATGTTATTTGATGAAGCCTGTGATAGAGATGCAGTAGCCGCTTTGAGAATATCTTTTGTTTTTTCTTCAATTTCTTTCTTATCGATTGTCTCTTCTAAACCTTCATTCTTGATGATTGTTTATGATGCTTGACCATCATTGCTAGCAGTCATTGCTTGAGTTGAGATCGTATCAAAATTGTCACGTCCTGACATAGGATGAAGCATTTGCACTTTTCCCATTTTGTTAAAATATTAATAATCTGAAAAAAATTCATCAGACACGAACGAAGAAAAGTTTGTTTTTTTTTTCATTTGAAAAAACGAATTTTTCGAAACGTTGAATAGAAAGAACTGATTTGTTAGATCTTCTCACTTGTCTTTCAAAAGAATTATACAGGATTTTTTTGGTTCAAAAAAATATAGAAAGTATTGATTAACTTTAGAATAGATAAAAAATAGTTCTTTTTTCTTTTCAAGAATCTATTTATCAATGAAAATTCTTTTTATTTCTGAAATTTCTTTCGAAAACAATAGTGATCAAGTATTCAGTAATTGTCAAAGAAAATCTAAGAGTTATCAATAATTAAGTTGTGTCGATATATAATGAAACTTAACTTTCATCTAATATAAAACATAAAATTACACTGTTAAATTACCATACAAGGTGTTAGTATCTTATGTTGAAATATTCTCAGCGTTTATTAAATTGCTTCATGATATTTATCATGAAAATATATGCAAATGACTCTGGATAGCATTTTTTTTTGTTTCTGTCTCATTGAGAGACTGACGAGGAGAGTACCATATATGTTTATCTCTGCTTTGATTCATTCAAACAAAATTCGATAGATTATTTTGAGCTAGATAAATTCTTAAAGGGTTCGAGCCCATGTATTTCTGCAAAAAATAAATGAAGAATTTTGACCTAAAATTTTACCTATAAATAGATTGAATAGTCATTATATACTCCTGAAAGTTTCAATGAAAATGAACATGTCTTTCTCGAGATATTCAATTTTAAAAATCAACTGTTTACTGTAGAAGAACAAAATAATCCAGTGTACTTGGAAATTGAATACCTCAAGAAACACATACTTGTTTTCGTTGAAATTTTCATAACTACCTAATGAATATTAAATCTATTTCTAGGCAAAGTGTCAGATGAAAACTCTTGATTTTGGTTTTTTCGAAAATGGGTAACTCTCAAAAAAAAACTTCAGTAAAATGATCATAGCTCTTCTTCAGCAAATCATGAGCCGGAACTTTTTAAGGTATTGTCTTATCTCAATATAATCTATTGAATGATATATGAAAGAATAAAAATGAAGATGGACACTTCGGTTACTTCACTCATTAGTGAATTTTTGATTTTAATTGATGGAGATGATAAAGTGTATTTGACAGTTGTCCGATCTTTAACGAATATATTGAAATTATTTTAATTCGATGTAGGATAGAAGATTCTCATCTTCAGCCTAAAAATTAAAAGTAGTATCTATAACTTAAATGTTTTTGTTTTGCAAAAGAATAAATGATTAAGGCCATGGTTATGATAGAAAAAAAAGCGTTAAAATGCATGTTATTCTCTTTCTTTTTCATCATGCCTTGGTTTTTTTTAGTACTTGCATTGATGTTCTGCAATATTAATGACTCATCAATATGTCCTAGTTTTTGTATAGTAAATATGTTGATCGAATTATCGTATTAAAACCAATCATTTCTATCTTGAAATTCTTTGAGTACAAATATAAATCTTTTACTATGCATTAATTACGAAATAATAAGATTTTAGGCTTTATCAAGAAAAAAAAAATTATGATCAAAATTATGCAGAAAACAAACAAAAGATTTTTGGTAATGATACATTATTTTTCTAAGCATTGATTATACTTATAAGTTTTCATATACATTACGAAATGTGATGATTGTAGTTTTCAGACAGAAGCACATAATTAGAATACATCTAAAAACTTAATATTTATGTCCAAAAAACGATACAAAACAAAAGTATTATTTCGAAAATGTCTACAAGTGTTTGAGTTATATAACAACATCAACATCGCACAACTAATACAAACCACACAATACATTGAATTAATTCAACTCCGATTGTTATCCGACAGAGCAGCGGGTTTTATCTTAAAAGTTGTCCTTTGATCAAAACAAAAAGGTTTATAAATCCACTAATCAGAGTATCCGAATTCAAGCTATCTGACAAGACTCTTTGTCAGAAGAGTTAAAACCAGTCATGGCTACTCAAACTCACCCTCAATTTTGATTCGATGCATCTTGAGCTGGAGGCAACCTAAGTGGCTAGACTCCTAGCTTTAAAAAAAACCTGATTGGCTGAATTTCTCCTCAACAAACCTAGTTTGAGATCATTCACTTGACTATCTGCATCTTGCAAGCATATAAACAAACGCGAATATATTTCATATGACTCATCCTACAGTTGAGGGAATATTTTTATAATATTTTGACTATGGTATGTTTTTGTTGGTTTGTTAAGTTATAAATATCATAGTTTTCAAATTTAGATCGTATTATATTACGATCAACTCCATATGTTCTTCTACATTATATTTTTGATTATCAACAAAATATACGTTCGTTGTTAAATGCAAATTCAAAAAAAAACAAAATTCATTGAAGATTATTTAATTGCTCAATAAAATTCGTATTTGGACGTATAGTTGGTCTTTTTGTTTTCACGCAAGAAAATGCTTCATCATAATTGATTTTATATTTATCCATTATGTAAGCTATTACTATAGAAGCACTTCTAGAAATACCAGAAACACAATGGACTAATATATTTGAATTATTTTTTTGACTTTCAACAATAAAATTCAATGCTTCTTTAATGTAGTTTGATATATTTTGTTCTAATGAATCATCGATTTCGATTGTTTTATAGATTATTTGATCGAAATTTCCATTCATTCCTTTTCCTAATATTAATATATATCTGATATTGAGTTCAAATAATTTATTTATATCCACACCGGATTTTTGTGATCCTAAATATATGTTGTCAATTATATAGTTTGGCGGTTCATATTTAAGATTGGCATTGGATAAATTTAATTGTTGTATATTTATTTGATAACAAATTTCACATAAACTTATATTGTCGTAAATCTTGTTACTTTTCTTTTGACAATTAACACAATTCATTGGTGATTCTTCAAAGATTTTAATATCATTTTCCATTTTTCGATTGTTATTTGAATAATAGAAAAATTATAACCTGTTTTCTTTTCGTAGTGAATGTTTCGAAATTGAATAATATGATTCTTGTTGATCTTCTATTTTCTTACATGTATAAAATTCGAAAAAACAATGCGCAAATGTAAATATTGAATTTGTGTAATTTTTTTTGCATATCTTAAATCTATAGCAAATAATGATTCATACTGATAAGTTTTTTTTTTTGAAATTCTGTTGCAAACATTAATAATGTCACATGGTGTAAATTTTATATCAAAGATCTTTTCCATGTAAATAAGTTCGAAAGCAAAAACCCATTTAGTTTGTTAATCAAAGATCAAGAAAGCGATTGTTTGAATCAACTAACTTGGATATTTTTCTTGTTGAGAACTTTTATTTGTGTTGTTTTTGACCAAAATATATCAGAACTTCATTTCGAAAATATACAGCTATCTGTTCTAGGAAAAACTCGGCAGGTTTGTTTGTACGAAGTGGTGAAGGTTTCGTATGGAACCTACATTTTTTTGATGTAGAAGATATTTCAGAATGTATAATCATACTGTTGTTGGTTACGCTACATAACAATGTCTAAGAAATTCGCTTACATCAAAGTGCCGCAAACGTCATTACATAGGTGTCAATGCTTGCTGATTTAGCGTTACTTCACCTATGTATTGACTTTGTGTTATTTTTCTTGAAAGTTGGAAAAAACACACTGATTACAGAAAACAAAGTGCACCATTCTCCACTTTCTTACCAAATGTTTACTATGCAAATGAAGGCTGCTATTCAAGTATGCTGTATGCAAGAACATCGACTTTCCGCGAGAAAAGTATAAAGGCATGTGTGTTAATCAAATTTTTCTTCTCTCTCTCTGTGTGGATGACTCATGTGACAGAAAAGACACACTCCACCACTGCTAAAAAATAAAACGAAGTTCATGGTGTTTTGTTGAGCCTTTTTGAACACATAAAATATTCATTGTAGACTCCTTGACTAATTGGTGATCGAACGGCGCAGACATGAAACTTTTGGAAAGTTAATTTCTCAAAATTATGCGAATCTTTGTGAAGAGCATGTAAGGGTATCAGATTCAGTAATTTTGATGTTGACTTGTTAGGATTCTAGTCTGTAGTCGACTTACTAATGACCAAGGAGCTAGTACTTTTAAGAAATATTTTAACTTATTTGAATAGACATGAATATTCGAATATTTAAAACATGACTATGAAAAAGAAACATTTAAATACCGTGAAGATGCAATGAATAAACAAACGCATGATATATTGCACAAATAATGCTTAAGAATGAGTGATCATTTAAAAGAATCATATGCGATTTTTTTGGTTGAAAAAAAACAAAATGTCAAGTAAAAACTATTGATTATCTCTATGATAGGAAAAAATAGTTTGTCTCATCTTTTCTGGAATCTATTTATCAATGAAAATTCTTTTTCTTTGATGATCAGGTCTTCAATAATTATCAAAGAAAAACTAACAGTTATTCTATAACTAAGTTGTATCAATTCATAGCACTGTGAAATGATAAAATTGAACTTTCATCTAATAGAAAACATAAAAGTACACTCATAAATTACCTTACAACATGTCACTATCTTATGCTGAATTTTTCTTAGTGTTTATTAATTTGCTTCATGATATTTGTCATGAAAAAAAAACCTACTCTACATCACATTTTTTGCTTTTGTCTCAATGTCTATCTTATAATGGGATTTATGTGGAAAGTATACAAGGTGTCTATCTTTACTTTAACTCATACTTCATTCGATAGATCATATTGTGACAGGATAAAGTCTGAAAGTATTCGAGCCCATGGCCTACTGATGAAGAATTGTGACCGTTCATAGTCATTAGATAGTCTTGAAAGTTTCAACGAAAAAGAACTTGTCTTGCAAGAAATATTCTATTTTTCAGTAGAGTAGACTACTATGTTCTCCTACCTGTACGTGAAGTTAGCAGTAGCTTCAAGTGATACGATCAGTGATTCATCTAGGATTATGTTCCAAGTATAACTTAACGAGCTCTATCTATTGTCTTCGAATTGAATTATGTTTAAGAATAGGAGTATTCATCTACATTTATGACTGATCGACCAAAATATTATGTCGTTGATGTAATGGAATCAATTATATGAAATTGTTGAACATTGTAGATAAATACAACTTTTAATAGCGAAATCTCGGAAACCAAGATTATTTTTCATTGATAACCAAGAAAGATACAATATTTCTAAGAAAAGAAAAAATAAATCAAAGAAGGTCTGAATGTGAGAGAAGAAAATACCAAGAATCACATCCACAGCCACACCCTTTAAATACTAAGGCTTCATAGGAACTAACAAGACGTCATTGAAATCTATGGTTGGCCAATGCTTCGAAAAAGTCGAGAATCCAATGGTCAAACTGAAGTGGATGAAATGAGGCAGAAGAATTTTAATTTCTTTCTTAAAACAATGCTTTTTTGCATACGTTTACCTATGTCTTGTGTGAATCTTCCCTTCTTTGTGTTCCTTCCGAACATGTAGCAAGAAGGAGTGAATAGAAAATTCCAACTTACCATTAGAATAGCATACCGATAGTCATTTCTATTGGTGAATGATCTATTTATAGTGACACAAGACAATCCACTAGAGGTTTATGCGTGGTAATACATTAAAAACAGACTTCAAAATATCTACAAATTGAACTTAGGACGTTCACTCTTTCTTAAGGATATATTCTACGAGAATGACTTTAGAAAGATTCATTAAGATATATCTTCAGGAGAAACAAAGTAATAAAGAGACACAAAACACTCTTGATCAAATGGATTTGTTTCATTCAACATTGAATCTCTTATCACATCTTCCATCTCATTGCTTCATCTATATTCTAACAATGATAAAGTAAGTACTAAAGAGAGCTCCACTTATGACAATTAGTATCATATGCACTTTATATCATTGTGCTTTTCAACTCTTCTCAGGTGAGCACTCCAAAGTTTCACACGAACAAAATAAACCAAAATATAAAAACAATCGGCACAATAAGCGAGCTACAATAATGAAAAAAAAATAGTCTGACAATATCAAAAACATTAGTGCGTTGTTCTTATACCATAAAACTTTGAGCTTATGCCATTGAAATAACACATTCGACGAGAAATACTGATGAATAATAGACTTTATTGGATATGAAATATAATTTAGATATTAACAAATAACTTTATTTAAAAGAAGAAAAAAACTATGGAAAGAATATTGATTGAAAAAGAAGAAAAAATATAGTTTTAGAAGAGAAAAATATTTGCATACGTTTCTATATTCTGATATTTCAAAGTGATTTTTTGCAAATAAAATTCACTGATGTCATTCAAATCAAATCAACAAGCTAAATTGACTAATTCTTTTGACATATTTTATAACCATATATTTTCATTAACAAACAATAGTCTAAATAAAAGAATGAGTTGATGATGATGTACCTTTATATTTATGAACAAGTTCAGTCATCGTATTCAAATGAAAAGAATTCTATAATATTTCGTCATATATTTCATATGACTCATAACAAACCTGAACAAAGACTATCAAGAAAAGTCATGAATCTTTTTTGTCAAGGAATCTACTACGAGACTTAGACGATTGGACAATAGATACAAATTCAAAAATATAATGATTTATTCTCATGTATTTTGAAAATTAAAAAAAAAACGAATACTTCCAAAACCTATCATTGACTTTCTCAATATTAAACTTAAAATATACAATACTTAACCTTAATAAAAAATAAATCTTGATCGAAACTTTCTCTTTAGTGCAACTGTTGAAAAATATCTGCTTTATCACTTTCGATGTATCATTTGAGTAGATCACCAATATATTGACTAGTAGTTGTCATGTAAAATCGCTATACAAGGTAATAGTCATACTTAGGCATACTTCATTGACTAACTCCCAAATTCAACCAAAAGTATCGGCCAGTTGTAGGAATAACATTATCTTCAGATATATGTTTTTGTTTTCTTTTGTTCTTTTATGACGCAAAAGCTGATAACAAGCAGCCTTGCATTAGTTCTATTTTAAAACATACAAGAATAGAGAGATATATGGTGCACTTTGGTCCCTCATCAAATAAAACACATGTTGTGTAGCTTACCTTTTCTCGTTTTACCTTAATTGTTTTGCGAAATAAAATTCATGTTGCAAATTCGTTTCAGTGCATTATTTACTGACAAATGTTGTTATACACCAACGATGATAAATTATGTTTGAATTATTTTAGATTAATAGAAACTAATGCATGCATTAGAGGAAGATTGATTCAACTATGACAAATCGAGCCTTTTGTTCTGTTACTGGTATTCTCTAATGTAAAATGATTTCTTTGACTGTCAAACTATTATCTTTATAGTTCTCCTTCTGATATTAACATTTTGCCACTCTCAAAATGTAAATTATCAATGTAACTTCGACAATGATATGACAGGTAATTGTCAATTCAGACTAACATCAGGAGGAGCTAATAATTTGGCCTTGACAAATGGCAATAGTTCTGGTGGCAATCCTACTCAACCCTTATCTGATGTTACAGCTGTTCGTAAGTCTTTTCTCAATGAAAGATAATAAAGATCACTATAGAATGTCATTTATTATACAGAATCACTTACTAAACCTAACAATAAACCCTGCAATTTTCCATATAACTATACACCAGGAAACTGGCAAATGTATTTTTGTCGACGCTATTCTGCTACTAATTATTCTTGTCCAACGAATTCTGGTTTGGGACAATGTGCTATGGGTTGGTCATTTTTATAGATTTCACATCATCTCAATGTTTTTTGAACACATTGATTGCTTGTAGGAAAATTTGCCGGCATAAGAGCATCAGCTACTACTGGTGCATATAATCAAACATATGTAACTGATGTTAAACAAAGCTCAAGTGCTATTCAATGTCTTGATTTCTATTACTATATACCTGGAAGAACGAGCAATCCTAAAATACAAGTAGGATGGAAAGCAGGTGCAGACACACAACAAATAGTCCAATTGCCAGCACCTTCAGAAAACAGATGGCAAAATAGTCGGAGGAACTTTACAGCTCCTTCATCATCTTCTTATCAAGTGAGTAATAATATAGTCTCTTCTGGATATAGATAGTTGATGAGTTCAATGAATATTATTGAATGTGATTTAAGCTTACATTCAGAATGATGCGTGATGCGGGAAGTGGTAGCCATGTCTTTGGTTTGGATGAAATCAAGATCTATGATCAACCTTGTGGTATGTTTTCTTGCTACCAGTAGATAAATTGTTTTGACTTTCGGTCTATTTTCTCTTACAGATTCTAGTTCGACAACAACTACATTCACTACAGTATGTATTCTGTGTACTTGAAAGATACTTCTTAATTTTTGTTTTGTCAATATTTGTATTTGTTTACAGTCGACTACCACTACTCGAATAGGCACAACTACTTCTGTTTTACCAGATACGACCACTCCTATGCCAACAACAACCACTCCCATACTACCTGATACGACCACTCCTATACCAACCACAACCACTCCTGTATTACCCGATTCGACCACTCCTGTGCCAACAACAACCACTCCCAAACTACCTGATACGACCACTCCTATACCAACCACAACCACTCCTGTATTACCCGATTCGACCACTCCTGTGACAATGACAACGACGTAAGTTCAATTTTTGAATCTCATTAACAAACTATAAATCGAGTGACGCTCGAGAAAAGTAGAATATAAAATAATACTTTGTACAGACCATTATTATCATCACTTAGCATGCAATTCATTGTATTTGCATTCTTGATACATCAAATTCAGCCGTATTTCGATTCAGTATTTATTCTATTTCCAATCATTTCAAATCAATGATTACAGATGTTTTAGAGACAATTTAATTGTGCACATTCAAAGCACTCCTTATCTTGTCAGTTACATAGTTGGTATAGGTGCTTCTGTAATTGTTCATTTCAAAGTTAATGATAGGGCCAGAAATGGGTCGATCTAGTGGTAGGTGACTTTTCCCTGCGGCCGCACGGGCTACTTTTTTCCTTTAACTAGGTTAGCAGATGTTTCCATTCTTGTTTTTTTTTTCTTTTTAGCAAACTTTATATCTATAAGAAGTGATAGGCATGATAAAAAACCTTTTATGGTAAAACAACTATGTCTGTTTGGAGGATGAGTAATCTAACAAATCATATCAATTCGTTACATTTTTTATATCTCTTCGTACACACGCAGCGTTCTATAGTGTATCAGCTGTTTAACTCAGTGGATGTATCTGATAGACAGAAAAATTTGTTGAAAGTAACCCTTTTTCGACAGTAGGAGAGGCAAAAAATAGCTTTTCCAACTCTTCAACTATGCTTAATGAGTGAATCTATGTAAAGCCCACCGATGTCTGAGTAAGAACAATTCTATGGTTACGCGCCATTTCTCAAGCGATAGCGTCTTTTTTCGATTTTGACTTCACAGTGAGGTAGCATGTGTTCAGATATAGTTTGTATTTGAGAAGAAATAGAAGTGGGATTTTTTTCTCCACTTCTCGATACTCCTTGATATTTCTGAATGGTTTCTGGTATTTCTCGATACTTCTGTGTTTTTTTGGTACTTCAGAAGTACAGAAGTATTCTTGTTCTCCTTAATATAAACCAAACTTCCTTCATGCTCCAATCAGACCTAGCAGGACCAACAGAGAAACTCATTGATCGAGCGACGCTGGACTCCAACTAAGGCTGAACCAACTTGGATTGCGAGATAGTAGACCATTTCAAGCTCTTGTATTTGACAATGAAAATGACACTTCTAGAATTATGTACAATAGAAATGAAATGTAGAAAATTTCGATAGTGAGAAGATATAGTTTGGTTGTCACAATATGAGTTTGACCATGATTCACATAATTGAAACTTTGTTTTCTTTTACATTTATCAACAAAGAAACAATTTTCTAGCTGTCGAAAAATTCCACCAGGATACCTATATACTCTTTTCATATAATATGAAAGCATAATGCAGATTGTTTTACCAGCACTTTAGAATAGCTTTGGTTTGGTCTTTGTCCTATCTCTGATCGCATTAGCTATAAAAACATTGCCGCTATTTGAATATTTCTTTCTTACTGTTTTTTGGACTTATAGATCAACAACCATGACAGTATCTACTACGTCTACCAATTCCGAATCACCTGTAGTTACGCAAGATGTTGAAGAAACATCAAGTTCAAATATTCCAGTTGTAACAACGGTACACTTATATAGAAAAGAAAAACTATCAATATAAACTACAGGATATATTTAGCATGTTTCTTTTTTTTAATGAGATGAACTTTTCAAGAAAGGTTCAATCTTGTAATCATGTTAATTTTTTTAGACAACTTCAACTACCACTACAGAAGAACCTCTTATTCCAATCTTTACTTGTGATTTTTCTACTACACCATGTTTTGAGGGTGGTGGACTTGCTGTCACC